TCCCGTGTTAGCCCCGGGGAATCCTGCCTCTTTGGGAGCGCAGGCAGTCTTGGTCGTGGTTCGCTGGCAGCGGAGATGGACAGTGGGGAAGGGAGGGGACCAGTCCGGGAGTCTGGAGAGGACTCGGGCGAGGGCCCTGCGTCCGATGCAGGGATGGCGCCAGGACCATCTGGGAGTCGGGTGCTGCCTCCGGAGCCTCCGGAGTCTGGCAGCAGCGAGGCAGAGGACCCAGGGGAGCCTGGTCCTCCCAGGGTTTGTATGCACAGAGCTGCTAGAAGGCGAGAGCAGCTGAAACAAAAGAGATGACTCAGGAGTAGGGCTGGGAGGTGATGGCCCCTCCCATAAGGGATAAAAGTCAGGCCAAGGTGACGAAACCTTTGCAGGAAGGTGGATGAAAGCCTCTGCAGCCCGAAAAACAGGCTCCTTTCGTTACTTCCGGCCGAAAAAGGCCTCAAGGAGGCCGAAAAATCAGCTGTGAGGCCCATGCAGGTGCAGTAAGTTTCCCTGCAGCTGGCATGCCGGCACCAATGGCTCCGCGTGGCACCTGTGGCTCACGTGCCATAGGTGTGCCATAGCAGGGGAGTAGAGAATTAGAGACAGAAGAGAACAGAGGGTTGGAAGGGATCCTTCCACAGTGAGGAGGGACGAACATTGGAACCATTTTTGGGGATCTGTCGTAACTCCCCAACGGCTGCAAAGCGGCAGGTTGCCGATCCAGGGTTCCCTGGGCGCTGCTGCCGTGAGTCCTTGGACAGGTGTGGCCTTCCCTCCGCAGCCACCCTGGACGGAGGCATGGGGCTGCTGCTGCCCATGCAGGAGAAGACCTACCGGCGCCTCCTCATGCTGCAGAACGCCCTGACCTCCATGCTGCCCCACCACGCTGGCCTCAACCCCCGGGCCTTCAGGTACTCCCCCGGGGCAGAGGGGTGTGGGGGGGCCCTGAAGGGAATGTGGTGGTGGGGGGGGAGTGGGCAGCCTGGGCACACCGGCCACATCGCCTCCCGCCCTCCGCCTAGGATGCTGCACGTTGACCGACGCATCCTGCAAAACGCCGTCCGTAACATCCTCGACGGGGAGCTGCTCAACCGCTACCTCTACCTCAGCACCATGGAGCGCAGCGAGCTGGCCAAGAAAATCGGCACCACGCCGGACATTGTGAGCGGCAGGGGAAGGTCGGAGGGGGGAGGAGGGAGGAAGGGAGGGGGGACCCCCCCACACACACACTTGGGAGGTGGAAATTGGATGAAACGCAGCCGGAATGGGATAACTTGCCACGGCCAAGTCACCGCGGGACAACTCAAGATAACAAAAACAAAAACAAAAACAATAATAATAATAATAATAATAATTCGATATAGTTCTTGAGAGTCCT